AAGTAATTGTGCGAAAAGAAATGCCGCTAACGCTTGTTCTAATAGTGATGTGCTAGCGGGAAGAAATAAGGGGGAAAAACAGAAGAAAGGGAGAGAAAAAGGAGAAAATTGTGATTAGAACAAAAGTAATAGTTCCCCGCTAAACAACAAAAACAGGAAAGTAAAGAACAGACAGGGGTTCTTCTGCGCAGAGATCCTAGATATTTCACTGAGACCCTAACTATGGATAACCGTATAATGACGTTACATGACGTCGACCTAACTACATGGGTACACACACAAAGACAACTACGGACTACAGATCCTAAATTAAGTCAAGCAAATGAATTATGATCACATTAAACAGTTTATTTTACTCGACATCACATCAGTGTGGTCAACAAATAACGACATTAACGACAACTACTATCTCGACCAGAATCTAAAATGCTAATCATCAAACTTAACCAAATTAACGTACCACCACCTGCGAAATCATTCTGACCATGGACTTTCCCTGCAGTCGCCATGCCTGTTGACTGGCCCATTGTGCAAAGCAACAGTCGCTAGGTAGGTTACACTGGTCCGTCCGGAAGTCAAATAGGCTGAAACTGCGTCAGTCTGGTGTTTAAATACCCAGTGAGCCAGATTTTTCCCCATCTTCCATCTAACACTAATAACTGGTAATGTTTCTCCTTTGGCCTGTAGGCCATTTTCAAACCAGAATAAATCCAAGATCTTCAGGCTGCTGAACTGTAAGTTTCCAGCCTGTTACAGTGACTTCGCGATAATTTCATACTGCGTCATCTAATCTCTGTTTATCTTTTAACACGAGTTTTGCTAAATGTAAAATAAATCATTATCATCATCAGGTGCCTTGCCGACTGGCGTGGGCGATCATGCCTCTTCACAATTCGAGATCTCCTGCAGCATGTATCAGTTCGTGTGTTGACACACCTACATGCCATGCAACAAGACTGTCAAGAATCTTCTCTCGTTGTCTTCCTCTATCCCTCCGTCCACAGATTTTTACAGTGGTCACAACATGTTCTATTTTCCCCTTTCTCAAAACATGGCCGAAAAATGATGACTGTCACCTTCTTATATCTGTGATAAGTTGTGTTTAGGTTTCCGCCTCTTTCAAAACCTCTTGGTTGCTCATTCGGACTGTTTATGGTATTTCAAGCATTTTTGTGTAAAACCATCTCTGAGGCATCAGGAAATTGTATGGCCTGCCTAGCGATTGTCCAGGACTCACAGCCATATGTTAAAACTGGATGTATGTAGCAAGCAAGAATTCTTTTTCTAACTGTAACGAGCTGGTCTGAACAACTGTTTCTTACATTTTATTTATTGCTTTGTATTAGCAAAATTATTAAATTTCTTACCTTTTAATTACTGTTTCGCATTAGCAATGTTATTAAATTTCGTACCTAAAAATGATGCCTTTATTATAGCAATAGTATAAATTTCTTAATCATAAAGTTGAAAAAGGTGAACAAGAAGTGGGAGAACCCAGAGTTAGCTTCCCCATCCAATAACTTCATGTTAGCACTTAACTTCTTTTTTTTTTTTTTTCAAATCAGACACGGTTGAGAAAGGAGACAAGTGCCTTCTCTCCTCAACTCACTCAGTTTACTACAGTTGGCTCAGTGCTGAAGTCTAATTGTCTGTTAATTAGTTACCCAATTGTCTAGACTGGACTGGAAGATTCGACCTGCCTGAAGTGTCTCCAAGGCTGAGCCAGAAGCTGACCCAAGAAGCACCAACAACAGATGAGTGGATATCAGTTTAAACTTTTGAAGTTTATTTTTACTGTGTATGTCAGTGAACAAAAGCTAATATACAAGTATTTTAGTACATTTAAATATACAGTTTATTGACTGCTGGGAATCAGATGTAAGCAAACCCGAATCCTCTCTTTTAACCAGCAAGGCTGGGAGAAAGATAATCTTTTAGGATATTTCACTGCTTGCGATTCTCTCTGTAGATTGCACATAGTGCATTCGCAATATCAAAGGGAGTTACCATGCTACATTAACTTTCAACGACATAGATATTTTGCATAAGATGTTCTTCATTCTATAAAATGCAGTTTTTGCCTGTCCTATTATGTTTCTTATATCAGTAATGCATCTTCCATCTGATGGTATCCATGCGCCCATATATTTAAATTTATGTACTTGTCCCAAAATAACACCATTGACTTTTATTACACATTTAGGAATAATTCTTTTCTTTGATACCACCATTACTTATGTCTTTTCATCATTCAAATTGAGGCCCACTCTTCCTCTTTCTACCACCACAATGTCTATAATTCACTGTAGTTCTTTCTGACCTGTTGCTTTCAAGACTGTGTCATCGGCTAACGTAAATTGTTTATATCATACCAACAGTTCCGGCATATCGACTGAATATCTCATTATATATTCACTGTATAGTAACAATAAATCAGGTGACAGTGCACATCCATGTCGTACACCATTCTTTGTGAACTGAAAGGTACCCAAACAGTTGTTAATTTTTATAGCTGCTATTTGCTGCCAATACATATTCTTTATTATTCGTGGATCTTTTCAATCAATGTTAAATTTTTCTTATAGTTTGATTACTTCTTCATGTTTCACACAGTCAAATGCTTTTGTATAGTCTATGAAGCACAAGTACAAATCAGTCTTTACCTCTATAGCTCTTTCTGACAACGTTCTTAAAATGTATATGGCATTGTCTGCACCGTTTCCTTTTACAAACCCATTTTTGTACACGTAAAATAAATATATGTTTAATATTATCGACCATGTACATTTCTTTACTGTGATTGGTTGCCGTAGGGGCCCGAGGTCACAGGTTTTTCCAGGGGCCTATAATGTTGTTAAGACGGCCCTGGTTAGGATGCAGGGAAAAGTGTTGTACAGGTTACAACTGAAATTAGATATATTTATATATATATATATATATATATATATATATATATATATATATATATATATAATATATATATATATATATATATATATATATATATATATATATATATATAAACAAAGATGTCTGTCGCAACTGTAGGTAGGTAATGGTTATTTTGAGGCTGACTGGGTTAATGTCACTTGGGGAATAGACAGAATGTAGTAAGTGCAAGATCAGGCGAAAAAAAGTGAGTGTGAGGAGAGGGAGAACAGCCCAGTTTATGCTAACTAGAAACCTCTATAAATTACCACTTCTGTCCTCGTCCTTTACACTTCCCATCATTCCTTCAATGTGAATGCTAGAACACTACTCATAGCGGCTGGCCGAACGGTAAGTACGGGGACTGTCATGCAGGAAACCCAGGTTCAAATACCCTGTATGTTAGTGGACTTGTTCTATCGGGTTTAAAAAAAAAAAAACTCAAATCTGCAGTCTTTGGCGACAGCACTAGTGTTAAATGCTCAGACTCAGTGTGTGTGTGTGTGCGCGCGCGTGCGTGTGTGTGTGTGTGTGCGTGAGTTTGTTTAGTCTGCATTGATTCGTATGCCTTTTCGAGCAGTGCTAGTATAAAACTTGATAAATTCCATATCACTTTAACTGCCTTTATCATAAAAAAAAATACTGCACAATTATGGACTTTTTTTTTTTTTTTTAATGATACAAAGATCATGCGTAGCCATCAAAACGTCATTTTAAAGAAAAATTCACACTGTATAACGTTAATTTTAGGCCGAGTAATTGCTGGCCTGTCAAAAAATGAATGCTTTCCATAGAAAGACATTTTTAAATGAAAGACTGAACGTTGTTGTGTATTCTGGGAGCTTGGCTTGGCTTGGCTTTTTTACCCCACCAGGACATCACACAAGCGATAAACACCCGATGACACAAAGTGCCACCATGCGGATGAGGATCACCGTGGAGAGGTCCCAGAAACCGCGTTCAGACATTTGGCCATTTTTATGGCCTGCCTATATTGCGGCCCCTGGCAAAAGCCAGAGTGGGGCTTCAAATAACAAAAAATATATTTTTTTTTTTTTTTTTTTTTTTTTTTTTTTTTTTTTTTTTTTTTCACAATCACACACTGTTTATTCATATAATTATGTGAAATGAATGTGATCATCTATTCATCGGTAAGACTGCCCATCTGTTAATCACAATCATACTCACACACTGTTTATTCATATAATTATGTGAAATGAATTTGTTCATCTATTTCCACGAAACTGGGATCTGATAATCACAATCATACTCACAGAAATATTATTCATCAAATTATCTGACAGGATTTTGTTAGTCTGTTCATTACTGTCCATCTATCCGTCACAATTATACACACACACATTTTATTCATCTGCTCATTTGACAGGATTTTGTGAGTCTTGAACATTTTCTTGTCCAAGTTCCTGCCTAGAGACAGGACTAAAGCAAACATTTACAATGATGTGGCAGTGTCTAAATATTAATCTACCTCATTTTCAATAATGTAATATGTAGTCAACTGACAGATTCCTGGTAAGATTTTACATTTGTAAAGTAGGCACACAGGTCTGCCTGATTATTAAAGAACATAGAGGAAGACGATGGGGCAGATAATCACCGAACAAGCACTGAAATGAGAAACAAATGGACTGAGTAAATGAGAATGTCTCAGAGAGACTATATCAAAAGGACTGCACAGGGTTGAATGGAACAGAGGAACAGACTACTAGCCCTATGTGATATGTAATGGCACAAAAGGATGACATGATGATAATGCAGGTAAACTGACAGACAAATGAACAGCAGACATATGGACAGAAACAGACAGATAGACACAGACTTATGGATAAATTTAATAAGTTATTTAGACTTCTCTGACAGATGCTATAAGTATAAAAAGAACTAGCTTTTCTGGTTTATGAAATAACTAATTTCTGATTAACTTTCTCTACATACTACAACCACATATATACATGCAGATATGCCACAATGAGGCAATTAAAACATGTTTCAGCTTCAGTGTAAAGTGAAGAACCGGGAATCTGCAACTTCAGACTCGTCCTTGTGTGGGATCATTGTGATTTGTTTCTGGCAGCTTGAGACTCAATCACCAACTTGCCGGACCCGTACATCTGACTGATTAAAGCCTGTCGTTTTAAAACATCCAGATTTTTTTTAGCCTTTTCTGTGAGGGTCTGGACCTGAGCTGTGTCTGTTACATTTTTGTTTTCTTTAAATGCATCCTTTATTCGACGCAGGTAATACATTCTGAAGTTGTATTCTGTGATCTGTTTGCTTTCCTTTAACATCTTCTTGTAAAGAGACAAAATCCCTGCCCTTGTGGGCGCGGCCAAAATATTTCAGCTTTCGAGACAAGATGCTGTTTATTCCCTAATCATCCTTGATGTTCAGATCTTTTAAAATGTCAGTATTTCTTCTTTTCTTTGTCCATGGTATTCTGAGAATCTTTCTTTAACATTTCAGCTCAAAAGTCCATATTTTGTATCATAAGGACTGGGAGATAATCCGCGACTCACATCCATATATTGCTGCAGGGAAGATGCAGACTCTAAAATTGTTGATTTCTTTGCTGATGTTTAACCATGGACTTTTAATGCCGTTTAATCTGTGTATTGTTCTGGCCATACTCCTTTTGATTTCTATCGCACAGTCTCCAGTGTTATTATTATTATTGAGCCCTGATAGTCAAAGTTTGTGACATTAACAATTTCTTCATCATTTTTTGTTTTGTTTTTGTGACAGCCAGTGTTGTCTGAAGTCTAGTCATCCAACTGTGGGATTCAATTTTTCGTTTTTTGAAGCCCCACCATGGCTTTTACTTGGGGCCCTGAATATAGCTGGGCCACAATTGTGGCCATAGCGGCGGAAAGGGGTTTCTGGAACTTCTCCACGGGTGATCCTCATCCACATGGTGCACTTTGTGTCTCTGGGTGTTTATCGCTCGTGCGATGTCCTAGTGGGATACAAGCAAGGAAGAAGAAAAAGAAATATTATCAAGACATTGTTTTTGTTTTCTTTAAATTCAAGAATAGGTTTTGATCTACACTGTGTGTGTGTGTGTGTGTGTGTGTGTGTGTGTGTGTGTGTGTGTGTGTTTTCTTGTTTTTTTCTACAGATTAAATGTTCTTTACCCTTTACTTTGTTCGAAAGGAGAACTGTGTCATCTTCACGGGCAAAAAGAACTGCCACGAGTTATGGATGGTTCATAACTGTCACAAATCTGGTCATATTAGACATGTTTCATTATGTTTTCTGCATATATATTGAATAGGTATTGTGAGAGAATGCATCCCTGCTTCATTCCCTATTGCACCTCGAACCAATCCGATGTTTCACCAGCGGCTCTGATGGCTGCTTGTTGTTCACGATGTAAATCATTCAATTTAATGAACCAAATGCACTAGAAAGCCCATACTTCCCATGATGCTCCGCAATTTCTGATGTTGGACGCAATCAATAATCATTGAAACAAGCACGAAGATCTGCGTTGTATTCGCTACATTTTGTCAAAAATTATTTTCAAAAATAAAGATGTGATCCCTAGTTCCTCTGCCCTGTCTGAAACCCGCTTGTGCTGCATGTAGCTCATTTTGTAGTTTCCTTTCAATCCTCTTCATGATAATTCGTAAGAGGATTATGCTAGCACGACCCGTTAATGCGTTAGTACCGTCAATGTATACTGGTCTAGATCATGTAAACAAAAACAAAAACAAAGTCGGGAAAGCAATGAAAAATATTAGGCTTCTTAAATCTTTTTCTTCGCCTTCTTCGCGTTCACCGGCTGTGAACTCCGGTGGAAAGTTCGGGTTGTTCGTCTACTTCTGGACTGCAGTCCTGTTCCAGAACCTGAGTGTTGCATGTGCATCCGTTTGACAGATCTGTGTGCAGACTGTGGGTTCGCGCCTCTCAGGCAGATGCACTCCGACTTCGAAGGAAGCTCCCAATTAGTCGACTCTTACGACATGCTTTTGAGTAGGCAGTGGATCTGTTCTTCTTTTTCCCATAGTAGGGCCCCGGAACCCACACGGGGAGGATTTCTTAGATGATTATGGTAGTTATTTTATTTCAACAATTAGGCGCGCTGGATGCTTATTTTCATTATATAATATCTTGTAAACATCTTTTTCAATGTGGGGCTTCTTTTTCAACTTTTCCTACATCGGTCGACTTGAGGATGTCCTTTTAACTGACCTAACACTTGTCAAATACTTCAGGTCAAACATCTTGTAAACTTCTGTTTGACATTTCATTCATCGCCCATCACCGAAATTACTCATCGCTTTACTAAGAACTGCAGCCCGGGTCTCTCTATTAAAAGCCCATTATTTTTCACACATCGAACAAAGAAATCTTTCTTTATCGTGAAAAAACGAAAAGCAAAGCCAGTCATCTTGACATTATCACAAACACAAGCAACATGCAGGGCCGTTTTAACAGAAATGCTTGCCCCGAGCATAAGGGTCCCTTGTTCACATGTTTATGTGAAGTGATTTGCCCCAAGAAACATTTTTAATTTTTGAATTAATTCTAAGCAATGCAAAAACGAGAACTATTTTCTCCTTTTGCCTTACACTCCTATCGCCGTCCCCTTCCCCTTTCTACATTGTCACACACATGTACGAACACACACACACTCACACATATATATATATATATATATATATATATATATATATATATATATATATATATATATATATATATATATATATATATATATATATATATATATATATATATATATATATATTAGGCAAAAGGAAATCAATAGAATCAATGACATTTAGAAACCACAGACACATTAGATATAACTGGCATTAGAATGTCTCAAAGAGCAGCCATTATCATCACAGTAATCATGTGGACAAGAATATAAGAGCCTTGGACTGAACCATAGGATGTCCCCCACTTATCTGGGTCCACCCTTATCTGTTTCCAGGTCCGGTCCACTGCACTCATGCTTGCTTCATGGTCGTTTGGAATGGCTGGTACTCTTAGGGATACTGTTTTATAAAATTGTGCACACGGTTTTGTCATTGAGGTTTAGACATCTTCAGGGATAAAGGTTAGAGTCCAAAAGAAAGTCAAACAATTGTTTCCCCACTGCTGGATGCACGAACCAGCTCCTTGAAAGGATTCTCTGCCACTCGATATGTCCCTGGCAGCATTCTTCACCCGCTGACCACGAGATTGGTGTTAGTGTAGCACCCATGTTAGTGTTTTCTGACCTGCTGGTGGTAAGGCTATGGTTGGTGAAGATGTGGTCTGTTGATTCACAGCTGGGCTTCCAAATGTATCACCCCAAGCTTTTGGAAATGTCCTAGGTAACGACTGCTTCTAGTTTGTATACCGAAGTTAGATTTAAGGCACAGAATAACTGATCTCGTTGAACGCCAAGCTGCGAATGAGAGGAAAAATTAGCGTCTCTCTCAAAGAAAGTAGGACGAAAGATCCCTACTCCCAGGTTGTGATTTGTCCCATCGGAATGTGAGTAATAACACAAAGAATCTCCAACTTCTAACCGTAAGTTTAAAAATTGAGGCATACCATGAGACTCAGAACATTCAGAAATACACATATTGTCATAAAGAGGTGTAAATATATAGGAGGGACTATATACCCACACAGGCGAGTTCAAATTTAAATATGACCTCGTCTCCATGGGGCGACAGGATGCAGAATAGTTTAAGATATAGGGGTGGTTGAGACTGTTACGCGACAGCTTTCTTGTCTCCAGAGGTTTGACATTTCGTGGATAACATCAGATTACCTGGTCAGCGCAAAATGACAATTATTTGGGTATACTAGAGCTGCTGGGTGAGTTTGACCCTGTTACGGAAGAACATATCACAATGTATGGACATTCTGGAAACGGCGATCCACGACAACAGTTTCTCTGTATAGCCATAAAGATGTAAAATAGTCAAAGTATTTTTTTAATAAGTGTAGGTTTCACTCTAGGCATCTCACGTACAGATCAGCTGACATTTACTACTAGATACAAAAAGGCTATGAGGCTGTGGAACGGTTCTTGATATTCATTCATATCTTATCTCATGGAACAAAGTATCTAATAGACACTTATGTGGATTTTCTTACTGAGAACAAAATTCTACAATCAAAATGCCGTTGTCAGTCATTCGATAATGCCCTAAAATTGAACGGGAGATCTACTGGATTGCAAGCACGGATTAATCAATTCAGTGAGTTTGCCGTGTGTGTCCCCTGTGCTGAACTATGACTAAATATGGTAGCAGTAAAACCAGCAACCAGCATAGCGGGGTCTACAGTTTCTAAAACTCTTCGACTTTGTGAAGCACCTGTACTCATTTTTTCCCTGCTGGTTCTACTTATAGGTGGAATGTGCTGAAATCATCTTTAGGAAAAGAGTGTGTGGCCAAGAGTTTGTTTAACACATAGTCGTCAGCACAGTTTGATGCTGTGCACGCTATACATATGGATGTCAAAAGGGGGAGGGGGGGGGGCATGCACTGGTTTCTTTATCTGCTGATGTTTGTTTGTTTTAGTATCCAGAAGCCATGAGTTGTTAACCCTTAGGCTCGGTATTATGGATATCGCAACCTTTCGGTCTTGATTCCATTTTAAATACCGTAAATCTGGGAGAAATGTGGCTTTTCTGCCCACCCCCGGGAGTGAACCCGGACCACAAGTCTGGTAGTCTGGTCTGGTAGTCTTAGTTTCAGCTTCATAGCAAACGGGTTGCCCCATCTTTGCTCCGCTCCTGTGCCAGCGAAAAACACTCAGAATGTCTATCACAGTCCCTTGTGGAAAGATTGACAGACTGCTGTCTCAGCTTATCTAGCATACACTCGCATTAAAGCATATGGTAGCCATCCGAAGTGCTAACACAGACAGTTCAACATTAGAAATGCAGTTCATCATTGATGATAGCAGAACTTGTAGTCAACAGATCAGCAGTTGTCCGCGTGATCAATTTTAATACGGGTCCCGCAAGCATTGAACGACAGGCATCGCGCCATTTTCTGAATCTACAATTCACACCACCACGTTGGTCACAGTCGAAAAAAAAAACATTCCAAATGCAATCCGCAGCTCACAGGGTCACGCCATGCATTCAACTCAGAAGCTGGGCGACGAAACTATATCCAGTCTACAAATGGAGCAAAAATGCATCGGCCACCGTCCGGCAGAAGCAAAAGATTTGCCTCTGTTCCGAACGGCGCCGCCGTATAGCGTCCATTTTAAGCGAAATCCGGTTTAGCCAACTTCGCTAGAGAGACGGGCTATCTGCTGATAAAGGGGTTTG